TACAGAGGATAGCGACGCATCTAAAGAATAACATCTTATTCTATTTATTACTAAAAATTGTGGTGGTGTTGCGTAAGAAGTATTGCGACGTTGTTTTAGTGGGGGAACTGCGGCGCTCGGTGGGGTGCGGCGCTCGGTGGTGAAACACGTTATTCTCTTTTTTTTATCGTTTTCGATTTTTCAATTATCCACCCATTTGCCGAAATACTTTTCACAGTGCTTGTCATATGAAATACTACCGTTCTGAACTTCCTAAGTTGTTCAAACATCTACTAAGATGTGTTTTAAAAATAGTATTTCTACAGAAATAAACTGTCTATCGTTTTCTTACTGCCTAGTATTAGACATTTTGCCGACATAATCTTCCGCCACTTTTTTTTTAACTTCCGTGTTATGTGTGTTTGTGTGGAATACGCGTTTTTATTGAATTTCGACTCTATAGTCGTTATTAAAATTGTTCTAGAATAACTATTTTTTTTTCCCCTAAATTTTCGTATTTTTTTTCTAAAAAAAATACGATTTCCTATTGTGAAGTCTTTCTCTCTCTCTCTCTCTCCCTCTCTATCTATTAGATCCAAGCTGAAATGGTGGTACGAGTTGTTGTGTTGGAAAAAAATTGACATTTTTTAACCTGGCGTTTTTTTGACTTCTTGGTGTTGAAGTATTCGCGAATGTATTTTTTTTCTTAGTAATATGCTATAAAATACTCCTTATTATTTTTGTATATCGTTTTTTTTTGATCTGTAGAGTATTAGGCAGTTGATGTATTTTTCAAATGTTGATGTTGTAGAATTTCTATTTCTCGTTCTCAACTTCATAGTACTAAGTATTCAGGTTTTAAATGGTTTCCGAGCATCGTGAAGAACCCGTTTACCGTTTTCGGCTTTTCCGAGTATTACGTCATGGAATGTTATTCATCGGGTTTAGCTTCCTAGTTCTGACATCAAGTATGCGCTAAAAAAATTTCTTCTAGCATTGTGTTTTAAGAGACTATTTTGCAGTTTCCCGAGTGTCGTGTTGTGGGATACTACTTATCGTTTTTGACTTCCTGACATCAAACATCCGCTTGAATAGTTTCCTAGATCTGCGTTAGGAAATAACTTGAATATGTTGTATCTGTTTGGTGTAAAGCATATCGGGTTATTTTTCCAAGAAAAGAGTGGTAGGCCGCACATTAACCTGTTGGAGTCGGGCATCTAAAAATGGTGTTATGAAATTTCATCTATCATTTTCCAACTTCAGTCTCAAACATTAGCATCCACAAATCACATTTTCAAATAACGACGAAACGAAATCCTCATATATTCCATGACATGCATTAATATGCCCCTTTCCTCCCTCTCCCAATCGTGCGTGTATATAACCACCACTCTTCTGTATACGTCTTTCCCCCCATATTCCCCACGATCTACATTAGATAGCAATAGTCGGCCTTGCATCGTAGCCAAAGTTCCCCTGCAAGTCCCAACAAGTCCAACTACTCCATCACTCCATCCACCTTCTCGCGCCAGAAAAGAATATCAAGAGGAAAAATAGGGCCAAAAGAGATTCAAGAGGGATTTCAATTCAATCAAATAAATCATAACAACATGTTCGCTTAGTGTGAGTGAGAGGGAGAGCCATTAAGAAGATATCAAAAGAAAAAGAGAGGGCAAGAACACCATCGACGCCCTAGAGACATGCTGAACAAGTGAATGCCGAGCGAAGAAGAGATGATGCGAAACAAATAAGATCCTATGGCGATGAGTCAACAGGGAGAATGTCGATGGATCCTGTGTATGGGACCAAAAAATGATATCCAAAAAAGACCAAAAAGCCGCCCCTATTTCATATATCTTTCTTTTACTAGTCAAAGCGCACAGGTGGGAGACTGGGGGCTTCACTTGGACGTCGTCCATTTCCATTCGTGTCCGAGTCAGATGAGGAGGTCTCAACTTGGTGCAAGCGGTTTCCAGCAGCCCTGCCGGCACTACCGTCTAGAACAAATGGGCCAATGTCATTGCGAGGCGTCATTGGACCATCGTGTACGCGGTCGGGTGCTAGGCCATCGGTCGCTGTGTGATGTAGTGGAGTCAGACCTGCGTATTGGTTTGCTCCAGACACGTTGATGCTAACGGGCGCTGTGGCGGACGAAGAAGGTGGCGTGATTTGGCGATCCGGTGTCTCGGGTGAGGACTGATGCGTATTTCCGTTGGCTGACTCGGTACCGTTGATATCCATGTTTGTGATTTGCTGTCGGAGGTCGCTGAGGTCAAAGTTTGAGCTGCTCGAGTTCATGGGTGCAACAGAAGCACGAGGAGTGACGTGGCGGTCGGCTTGTTCTGTGTTTGCATTGGTGGTTGTGTCGCCGTTGGCTACTTCCTCGTCACCCTCCCAGTCTTCAAACTCGCCCATGTCTTCCACATCCTCTTCCAAGTCGGCGACCGCCCTGCAGTTGGGACAAAGAAAGTTTGGCCATGTGGGCCCATTGAGGATGGGACGAATGCACTTGTAGTGCCAGACATGTGAACATGGTGCCACAAACAGCGATTGACAAGGCTGCAATGTGATTAGTAGAGCCCAGCTATATCAAGGCATGGAAACATACTGCTATGGACATCAAACAAATAGCACACTCGGAGGTGTGTGTAGAAGCGGCATCGCCCGCGACCTCCTTCTTGTTCTTGGCGAGGGCCCGCAATCTTTGGTGGGTTTGTTTACTAGACGAGTTAGCAAAGGCGCTCTCAACAGGGATATGTAAACATACTTGAAAGTATTCAGGCCCTGCTGCCAGCCGCGATTGCATTCAACGCGGATTTTAACACAGCGGAAAATCATCTCTTCACCCCCACGGAAATCGATGCCCAGCTGAATAATATCGCCATCCTTTATGCGGAAAGGCTTTGATTCGACGTTGGGCTGGCTGAGGCGGATGTGATTCAAAAAGGTGCCTGACGAGCTCTTGACATCTTTGATATACCAGCTTCCGTCCTTGCACCACAGTTCGCAGTGCTTTCTGCTGACCACTTTGGACTTGAATCCAATCGCCGCAGCGGAAGGGGTGTTTGAAGAGATTTCTGGCGCATTATCGCGCTCCGAGTAGCGGCCGACGCGAAGCACGGCCGACTCGTCGGGCAGCGTTCGCGTGATGGTGGGGAATATCAAAGAAGGTCTGCCGGCTCGGGGGTCTTGATGTGGGATGAAGCGAATTGAAGGGAGGTGTTTGACAGCGCCTCCGCTATCGGTGGAGCTGTCTGATGGCTGGGTGGTGTTGGTAGTGGTGGTGGTGGAGGCAGAAGTGGTCGCTGGCGTGGGCCCAGTGTTGTTGCGGACTTGCAGCTGGGGCTGGGCCGTCTCTGAGCGAGTGCGGGTCATGGTCTCGTGGGGCGAGGCAGGCGGTGAGTCTGCTGGAGGGCTCTGGGGCTGGGCGTCGGTGGTTTGGCGTCGCGACAGAGGAAGCAGACGCGGCAGAGGAGGGTGTTGGGAAGAGGGAGAGGGAAGGGCAGGTGAGGCTGGCGGCGTGTGTGTTGAGGCGCGTGGGCGGGCCCGTTGGCGGGAGGCGTCCTCACGTGTCTGGTCTGGTGGGCTGGCCGAGTGCAGGTGAAGATTTCTGAAGAAGCTGATTCCTCGATGGACGCCCGTCGGTCGCTGAGCTGACGAGTCGGACGACAATCCGGTTGAGACAGCGGCTGGGGGAGCTGGGGCCGCCGTTGTAGTGAACATCACCTCCCTTGGTCTTGGGCGCGGGATCAGAGGTAGTAGTAGTACAGGAATAAGCTCTGGCCTGAGGCTGGGGGGAGGCGGCAGGCTGATTGCGCGAGTTTCGAGGGCGTTTGACAGACGACACAAGTGGCCCAGGTTAATGGGGCATGGGTACAGGCGCGGGCGAGTCTGAGGCAGAGGGCAGAAGAGTAAATGCAAATGCAGATGCGAGTGCGGACGCAAGCAGCGGAGCGAGCCAACAGGGTCGGGGCTGGTTTATGCAGCCAGGGCGGCCAGGGCGACGACGGCGATGGGCGTGCTAGTCAATGGGTAATGAGCCGATTCTAGAGCCCGGGCGGGCTATTCTGGGCTGCGATGGGCTCTGCACTCTGCGCTCTTTGGGGGGGCAACCGACAATGGGCAGCGCAACAAGACACTACTGCTGCACGCCTTCTCACGTGCCCTCCTACACACTTACTCACTCACACATACACGGCAAACGGAGCGCCCGCCCTCGGTCTCAGTCATGGCCGCCAGCATGAACGTGCGGGCTGCCCTCGCCGCCCTGGCGCAATGCCGTCACGAAACCATACCGCACACTGCCATCCTTACGCCTAGTCTGGACCCGGACCCAAACCATCATCTCCTCCGCTGTAATCATCGTCCACCCACTACTATCCTCTGAGGCATTTCATCCGCCCCAACGCCGCCCAGCCGCCTGAGACAAGGCCTGCCGGTGGCGGCGTTTTACTGCCCGCCGCCGCTCTCTATGGCGCGCATGCCATCATACCCTCTCCTCCACCCTCCCCTCGCCATAGGGCCAGCAAAGTTTCGTCTCATCACGTCACATGGCCCATTTCCCCAGTCTCGCATGTCGCCCGCCACGCTCAAGGCGCTGATCGCAAATGTTGCCGTGTGGGGCCGCCTGTCTGCTCCGCCATGCTGGGTACCCTGCGCCTTGGCACGTCCACGTGACATCATGTCATGCCTGCCCGCCCGCTGCTTGGGAATTTTTCCCCGTGCGCGCCATCAAGCCTTCTATTCATGCCCGCCATGTTAAGACCGCGCACCTGCCGACCGCTATCCCGGGGGCTGTCCACGCCATGCTCGTCTCTCAGAGCACCGCCTGCATATGCTGGTAGGAGGTCTCTGGCCACGGCCGTCGCCCAAGAGAGGGTTAGCATTCCGCCATCCGCCCACGTCGATGCATCTGAAGCCATTCTAAACCACCATTCTAGGACCCCGCCGAACTCGACCAAATCACCACCCTGCCCAATGGCATCCGCGTCGCCACAGAGGCCCTCCCCGGCCACTTCTCCGGCATTGGCGTCTACGTCGATGCCGGCTCGCGCTACGAAAACGATGCGCTGCGAGGAGTGAGCCACATCATCGACCGTCTGGCATTCAAGTCCACGCGATCCACCACGGGCGACCAGATGATGGAGAAGATTGAGACCCTCGGCGGCAACATCCAATGCGCCTCGAGCAGAGAGTCGCTCATGTACCAATCCGCCACCTTCAACTCGGCCGTGCCCACCACCGTCGGTGTTCTCGCAGAGACAATACGCGATCCCTTGATTACAGAGGACGAGGTCCAACAGCAGCTCGAGACGGCCGACTACGAAATTGGCGAGATCTGGAGCAAGCCTGAGCTGATTCTGCCAGAGCTTGTCCACATGGCAGCATACAAAGACAACACCCTCGGCAACCCGCTGCTCTGCCCCAAAGAGCGGCTGCCCTTGATCAACCGCTCCGTCGTTGAAGCATACCGGAAAGAGTTCTTCAAGCCTGAGAGGATAGTAGTCGCTTTTGCTGGTGTCAACCACAATGAGGCCGTTCGGCTGACTGAAGAATACTTTGGTGACATGGAAAAAGGCACAGGCCCAGCACTCCCCAGTGTAGGCTCAGACAGCGCGGCAGGATCACAGGCAAACTTCACGGCAGACCATCCCATGCCCACAGGCGCACTACCAGGAAGTTCCAATCTCATCTCCAAGATTCCCTTCCTCAAGAATCTGTCCACATCGACCTCATCCACCGCCAACATAACCACAGCACCCGACCTCAACTTCCCACCAATAGACACCTCGATACCTTCGCAGTACACTGGCGGTTTCCTCACACTCCCTCCAATCCCTCCGCCAGCGAACCCCATGCTCCCTCGCCTATCTCACATCCACCTCGCCTTCGAAGCCCTCCCCATTTCCTCGCCGGACATTTACGCTCTCGCAACCCTTCAGACGCTCCTCGGTGGTGGTGGCTCCTTCAGTGCCGGTGGACCTGGCAAGGGCATGTACTCACGCCTCTACACAAACGTCCTCAACCAACATGGCTGGGTCGAATCCTGCGTCGCCTTCAACCATAGCTACACCGACAGCGGTTTGTTTGGCATCGCCGCCTCATGCGCCCCCTCCTACACCGCCCACATGCTCGAAGTCATGTGCCGCGAACTCAAGTCCCTCAGCGACGAAACAGGCTTTGCAGCCCTCAAGGACGGTGAGGTGCAGCGCGCAAAGAACCAGCTCCGCTCTTCCCTCCTCATGAACCTCGAGTCGCGCATGGTTGAGCTCGAGGATCTGGGTCGCCAAGTCCAGGTCCACGGTCGCAAGGTCGGCGTCAAGGAAATGTGCAGCAAGATCGAGGCTGTCACCATCAAGGATCTCCGTCGCGTGGCTAAGCAAGTGTTTGGTGGTAATGTACACAATGCGGGTAAGGGCTCTGGTGCCCCCACCGTGGTACTGCAAGAGGGGGAAATGGAGGGACTCAAGCGCAAGGATTTGACATGGGACGACATCCAATCGCGAATCGCGAGATGGAAACTTGGTCGTCGATAAATCATTCTTCCTGCTCTCTTTCTTTTGTTTCTCTCTTCTCTCTTCTCCTCACAGCATCAGTTGGGCCAGGCGTTTTTTTGATCCACTGGCCATTCCCATGACGAAAAAATATGAATCCCCAACCCAAAGTAAAATGACGATTGTAGAAAAAGATTCGTGTATGATATAGACCATTCCATAAGGGCATGAGGGAGATAACAGTAATGAATACATACTTCATAAGGTGATGTCCCTAAGTTGGAGAGAGACACCACTATGTCGCGAGACGGGGTTTTTTGTTGAACTTGATAAGGGGATAAATGAGACATATTTATTCTCTCTGATTACTATTTCTTTAAAGTTGGTCCACCATATTTGACAAGGGTCATGATAGTGTTGAACTTGACTATTGATTGTTTCGTTGTATCGAGTAGGAAATCTTTTCAAAACGATCGAGTGATAGCGGGATAGTATGTTTCTGGAGGTTGGTGCAGACAAGGCTCTTTTAGGGCTTTTGTTGGATACTGTAGGTGTATTCTGTAGTGATGTAAACGGCGCTATGCCTATGTAGCCAGTCGCGTTCTAGCTTGCCATCTACTCAAATCATACCATGCTCGCACAGATCGCGGTAGGGTTTCTTACACCACTCTGCGTTCCGGTCCGCAATGGCCCTCTAACTTAGGCCAGTGTGTTCGTCTATGCACGGACCGACACGCCCTACTACTAGTACTACAGACATCCTGACACTTATAGTTATACAGTGAACAACGGCCTATGATAGTGTTTTCCGCACGATTTACATCGCAATTCTCGTACGAGAACTGTTTCTCGCTTTGTATTGTGGTGGCTGTCATGCGGTTATGCGTTGTCAGTTATGCCTACTCAGCCTCGTGTCATTGTGCAGGTGGGCTGCGCCTTCTGCTCTGGGCGTTGGATATATGCAGCCTAATAACCCAACATTCGGCTCGCGGCACTGCAGTCTCCTGACACCAATTCTCCTCAAATTTTTCCTCCGCAAAGTCTTAGTTGAATTTCGCAACAGATCCAACAGCTACGTTCTTTCTACTCTGCGCGAGTGAGACCCTGACCACGTTCGATTCCCTCAGCCTCGTTTGAAGCCTCAACATTTGCCTCTACCACTTGCATACGCAGACACTACAGCCTGATGCGGCTGCTATACACTACGAGCGATGGGCTGCTTGGATGGACTGGCGACCTGATTGGGGACAAGATCCCCCCTTATGCGATCCTGTCGCACACTTGGGAAGAAGGACAGGAAGTAACATTTGCTGACCTGAAAGATCTGCACAATACAGCAGGTGATGAAGTACGAAGAAAGCATGGGTATCAAAAACTCCTGTTCTGCGCGCAACAGGCCAAGCGGGACGATCTGGACTACTTCTGGGTGGACACTTGCTGCATTGATAAGACGAACAACACAGAGCTTTCTGAAGCGATCAACTCCATGTTCCGCTGGTACCAGAATGCAATTAAGTGCTACGTATTCCTTTCAGATGTCGAAAAGGACACCCTAGAGGGCGATGGCAAGTCAGCATTCAGAAAGAGCAGGTGGTTTAACCGAGGATGGACGCTTCAGGAACTACTGGCACCTCGTTCCGTCGAGTTCTTCTCTAAAGACGGAGTTCGACTAGGGGATAAAGATTCACTCAAGCAAACTTTACACGAGATTACCGGAATACCTATTAAAGCTCTTTCAGGGAGGGACTTGTCCGAGTTCGACGTTGCTGAGCGGTTCTCATGGGCAGCAAATCGCCAAACGACACGCCAAGAAGACGGTGCATACTGCCTGCTAGGTATATTTGGTATCTTTATGCCACTAATATACGGTGAAGGCAAAGATAGTGCTATGAAACGGCTACAGAAAGAAGTAAAGGGAGCTTCAGTGGACACCGCAGGTCAAGAAAAGTGGTTTGGTAAAATCTGCAGCTGGCTTTCCGCTCCTGACCCGTCCACAAACTACCATAAAGCGCAAAAGCAGCGGCAGGCTGAGACTGGACTCTGGCTGTTAGACAACGCAAGCTTCACTAAATGGAAAGCAACTCCAGCGTCACGACTGTGGCTGTATGGGATCCCGGGATGCGGCAAGACCATCCTGAGCTCAACAGTCATCGAGCACCTGCTGCAACACTGCTACAGTGATGCTAGTATGGCGACAGCGTACTTTTACTTCGACTTCAACGACATACAGAAACGGAACCCAGAGCTGATGCTCCGCTCGTTGCTCTGCCAGCTCCTGCAGGGCTTGGTTATAATACCTAAGGGCGTCAACGCATTGTTCTCGGCATGCGCAGATAGGGGTCAACAGCCATCACTACGTGCGCTGCTCGAACTCATACCGCAGGTGATACAACAGTTCACGCATGTCTATATTGTTCTAGATGCGCTCGATGAATGCACACAGCGCCAAGAACTAATGGATATGCTTAAGGTAGTGGCTAGATGGCAGCTTGACAACCTACATCTGCTTATGACTAGCCGTAAAGAGCGGGATATCGAGACATCTTTGGAGAGTTACATCAAAGAAGAAGACACAATCTGTCTTCAAAAAGACGTTGTAGACAGCGACATACAACGATATGTTCAACAAAGGTTGTCTGATGATAAGAGTCTAGCACAATGGAACAAAGATGCTGCCATCAGACAAGAAATTGAGGCTACACTGATGCACGGAGCTCGTGGGATGTGTGTATTAAAAACTTAGCGACCTACAGAACTATAGCTGACGAGAGTGTAGGTTCCGATGGGCTGTGTGTCAGCTTGACACGTTAGCACAGTGTCGCAATCGGGTGATGCTGCGCAAGTCATTAACCACTTTACCGAAAACGCTGGATCAGACATATGACCGCATTCTCGCTGCTATAAGTGAACAAGATCGCGACTTCGCGATGCGCATCCTGCGGTGGCTAACGTTCTCTGAGCGGCCGATGTCGGTCGAAGAGATCGCTGAGGTTGTCGCTATTGACGTAGCACGCGAGCCAGCGTTCGACCGCGATGGAGTACTGGAAGACCCGCTAGAGGTGTTGAACATCTGCTCTAGTCTTGTCACTACCACGACGAATGAGCTGGACATATATCAAACGATAGAATCTCCTACAATCACTCTAGCGCATTATTCTGTCCAGGAGTATCTTGTGTCAGAGAGAATCAAGCAAGGACAATCGAAGCAGTACAGTATGCAAGCCGTTGAATGCCATACTACGATAGCAGAGGGTTGTTTGAAATATTTACTACAATTCCAGCAACCAACTTCAATACACATTCTTGAGGAGTTTACGCTCGCAAGGTATACAGCAGAGTTCTGGGGTAGACATTTTCGAAAAATAGGGGATGAGACAAGCAGAGTGAGCCGAGTAGCGATGAGCTTGATGTCGATGGAGCAACCCGCATATCTCACATGGATCCGGTTGTGGGACCCAGATTTTCCATGGAAGAAACCAAACTTAGCAAGAGGTCTAGAAAGCATAGCTACGCCGCTTTACTATGCCGCATTGTTGGGCTTGTGCACAATTACGGAAAAGCTCCTAGATGCAGGCGCCGACATCAACGCCCAGGGTGAATATGGCACTGCACTGCAGGGAGCTTCACTCCACGGCCACGAGCAGATAGTTAAGGTGCTACTAGACGCGGGCGCCGACATCAACGCCCAGAGTAAACACGGCGACACCGCACTGCGGATAGCTTCATCAAGAGGCTACGAGCAGATAGTTAAGGTGCTACTAGACGCGGGCGCCGACATCAACGCCCAGAGTAAACACTACGGCACCGCACTGCAGGCAGCTTCACTCCACGGCCACGAGCAGATAGTTAAGGTGCTACTAGACGCGGGCGCCGACATCAACGCCCAGAGTAAACACGGCGACACTGCACTGCAGGAAGCTTTATTTGGAGGCTACGAGCAGATAGTTAAGGTGCTACTAGACGCGGGCGCTGACATCGACGCCCAGAGTAAACACTACGGCACCGCACTGCAGGCAGCTTCATTAAGAGGCCACAAGCAAGTGGTCAAGCTCCTAGTTGATGCAGGTGCCGTTTACCCTAGCCGCAGTAGTAGCTTTGCTGAGGAACACATCATGGTGAATGCTGTAGACAGCTCAGTTGGGATCACCTGAACAATGTTGCAAAAAGGCATCAACTCATCAAATACCCTTTGTATAAATAGCAAACTTTCATGATTCTTTCTCCACCGTGAAAGAGACCCAAAATCCAAACTATCAAAATCTGAATCTCGAGACGTGGTTGTGACTTGATCACTTGTGCACGGCATTTTACCAAAAGAGGATAAAAAAAAGACGTTAAACCATGAGCCCCGGATTCTTAGTTTGCCACGTACACTCTTTACGCTGGAGTGAAGAACGAAATCAAAAAATAAAAAATAAAAGAGTCGCATGAATCGTTACTACCTTCCTAACCTCCGTAACCTAAAGTCCCTTCTTTACCCAGTAGTCACCAGTATGCAATCGTTAATCCTCAAAACTCCCCCAAAGTCACCCCATCACCCCCTTTACCAACTTCCCCCCTCCCCTCCAAAAAAGTCACAAACTAAGGTCTTCGTCTCAAACTTGCGTCATAATACTCTGGACCCCCCTCCCTCGTCCATTCGCCTCACCAGCAACTTCCCTCGTCCTAACTACAGCCCCCGACTTAGCCAACCGCGACGCCGGATCCGGTAGCGTAATCGTAGCGACATCTGGTATGTGCATTCGCGCCGTGTGCGTCCTCCCCGTTGACGGGACGCGGGTATGTGAGTCTTTTTCTAGGGGGTAGAGTTTGAAGGCCGAGTTTGTGTTGATGGCGCTATCTGCTGAGGATGATGATGTGGGCGGGATTTGAGGACGGTGATTGTCATGTTTATTTTCTTGGCGGGGGCGTCGCACGCGGGTTGTGTTGCAGGAGCTAGTTGAGGTGGAGGTAGAGGAGGTGGAGTTTGCGGTGTCCCAGGTTGAGGATGTGCTGGTGGAACTGGGGTCGCGGTTGTAGCGGAACATGCCTTGGATTGTTGACTTGAAGCCTTGAGGGACCAGGGGCGATGAGCGGGAAGATGGCTTGTCGGTTGAGGGAAGACGGCCGATTTTGTAAAAGTTGAGGCGGGGACGGCGTTGGGTTGCGATTTCGTCGAGGTCGGTTTGCGATGTCTGGAATGTGGCGGCACTGGAGTCGGTCGTGTTTGAGGATGGCGAGTGGCGGAGACTAGTTGACGTGGCGGGGGAATTGAAGGTCGCCCTTGTGGATGGTGTGGCATTGGGCGTCCTGGACGACGGTACTGGTTGCCTTCTCATTCCGATATTGCGCATGGTTGCAGCAGGCTTGACGGGTAATTTTGCAATGTCTGCTCGTGTCAAGGGGGGGAATTCGCCTTCCATGACGGCTCCAAAAGAAATGTAGACGCGGTCCAGGTAATAGGGGCGGCATCCATGGCATGCTTTGAAGTTGCATCCTGAAGGTTCCTGGGTGTCTGTTAGTGACATCCGACTTTATCATTGCAATTGTTTTGCATGTGCTAATCTAACACATGTCCACTTACCGTGTCTGCAGGGAGTAGACTACTCATGGCACCATCAGTGCCACAAGGCGCCATTGCCATATCCATGAGCCTGGATATGGCATCGTTGGCCTGATCAGCCTGCTGTACATCGATGATGGTATGTTGCAGATCGCGCTTCAGTTGCTTCAGTTTTTGCAGTTGCTGATTGGTGTAGTGTCCGCTCTCTGCGGCAATAATAATACTTTCGCTCAACCCGGCTCTTTCCAGCTCTTTCCGTAACCTCGATTTAACTGGCATGATGTCTGATGTGTTTCGCGATATCAGATGGCTGAGGTGCTCGGTTTCATTGTCCTGTTTGCATTGATAGAGGAAGCCGATGGAAGATGAGCAGCCACAAACAGAGCACTGCTGATCGTGCCCGTAGACACGGTCCATGTCTACATGAGTGCAGTTTGTCGTTTGTGTGCGTTTCCCCATGACCGAGGATGGTGGGGTTGGCGGGCGAGTGAGGAGCTGAGGTGTCGGTGCGAGGTGTCGGTGTTGGGTGGAAAGACGGCGAGGATGCAGCAAGTTGGAAGTGATAAGAGGAGTCTTTGAGGAAGGTAGAGTGGTCACGAGGGTAGTTGTAAACGTGAAAGGGAGCAAGGGGAAAGAAGGAACATTCGGGTCTCGAAGCCTGGATTGTTCCAGAGTCATGTCAAACGCCAAAGAAAAGACCGGAAAAGGGAATCATGACGCGCCCGGACAGTGTCTTCGCAGGGCGGCTACCCAGGGGACTTTTGTGTTTTGACATTGTGTTTAATGCTGCTTGCCGTGCTACAGACGGTTGACGGTCCCTGCGTTCATCTCAACTGTTTGCTGTGGTAGCGACATACAAACCACGCGACCAGTGGCGGTGCACCCAGCGTCTGCTTTAATCCAACGGAAAGACGATCAACAGGAGCAGATGAGAAAGGGGGGAGATGAGAAAGAGATGGACATGACGGTGTGTATGCAACACGTGGTTGGAGAGGCGCTGGAGTCTCGTCCAGCATGGTGAGGTGGCAGTGGGGGTGCAGTCAGATAAACACACGCGCATGCGCACGCGTATCCGAGTCTGCAGCCATGCGGCTGACGTAGAGTATGGCGATGTAAGAATGCCATGGAGAGGGCGGCACATGTTTAATGCGAGATGGACCCATTGTATCGGCAGCTGGGGCAATCTACGACGCTTCCATCGGCACACAAGGGAAAAGCAAGGGTGAACAGATGGCCGCTGTGCCAAAGCTGCTTGGGTCGCTTCGCTGCAAAAGGAGCTAGGCCATTTGCCACGGCGTTGGAGGCGAGGCTGCTATCTATCTATCCAAGCAGCACGCCCGGCGTTCTCCTAGACATATCTCATGGACTTGGAGTAGGGCTGATAGGCGAGAGCCGAGGTCGTAGTGCAGTGTCAGATCACGACACCTCCGCCTCGACGGCCTCTGCATCCTCGTCGGGCGACGGCGCTAGCACGGACTGGGATCCGAGGCTGTTTACATTCATCCCCCAGCCATCCGCACGTCAGCTCAACAGCTCCAGCCCTCCCCCACAACAACATTCCCCGGCCGCCGCATTCTCCTTCTCTACGCGCCCATCTGCATTCCGCTGCCGTCGCATCCCATTGAGCCGCCATGTCGGTCAAGTTCGACAAGGAAACCTTCCACTCGACGGCCGCTGCCGTCGACGCGGCCTCCAAGGGCAACGACGACCTGATGCACGAAATCGGCCAGGCCATCACCAAAGGCGGCGGCCCCAATGGCTACCTCGCTGTGAGTTTGGCTCCTCCGGACATGCTGCGTCGAATTCTCCAACTGACTGTCCGCGTCCTAGGCCTACCTCAAGCAGCTGCAGAGCAACCCATTGCGCACCAAGATGCTCACCTCGGGTACCCTCTCCGGCCTACAGGAGTTCCTCGCCTCGTGGATTGCCCATGACCGGAGCAAGTCCGGTCACTACTTCACCTCGCGCGTCCCCAAGATGGCCATCTACGGCGCTCTGATCAGTGCGCCCTTGGGCCACGTCCTGATCAGCGCGCTCCAGAAAGTTTTCCAGGGCCGCAAGAGTCTGAAGGCAAAGGTCCTGCAGATTCTTGCTAGCAACTTGATCGTGAGTACAAGTCCGCTCTCACTTCCGATGGCCCGCTAACCCGTGCCCGTCCAGGTTGCGCCCATTCAAAACAGCGTCTACCTGATCTGCATGGCCCTCATTGCCGGCGCGCGCACTTTCCATCAAGTCAAGGCTACGGTCAAGGCTGGTTTCTGGCCCGTCATGAAGGTCAGCTGGGTCGTCTCGCCCCTCTCGCTGGCCTTTGCCCAGCAGTTCCTCCCGGAGACCACCTGGGTACCCTTCTTCAACATTATCGGTTTCATCATTGGCACATACATCAACGCCCACACCAAGAAGAAGCGATTAGCCGCTCTCAGGCGAAAGCACTACGGCGAGGGAGGCGGAAGGACTTCTCGTCCCGGCTCGCGCCCCGGCTCAGTCAGTGGAAGGGCTGTTGACGAATACGGTCGTCCCGATGATCGCCCACGCTATTAATAATTAGGGCTAGTGGTGGCGGCGCAAACATGTCCGGAGTCCTGTTCGCTGTTCTGCCCGCATCGATAGTGGCAAGCGCCCACGTATCGAGACAAGCCTATTACCCGTCTTTGTTTATGTGTTACGACATCCTCGGGGGGAAAGGAGATTCGGCTAATAGTCAGGCGCTTCAGCATTTCGTGCGCATCCATTCTCGCTCCTCTTACGTGCTTTGTATATCCCATCTGTTGTTTTTTTGTTCTATGATTGGAGCCGCACCTGGTGTTGCTGCAGGCTTCGTTAGCTACACACTATACCATCCTTACCTCTTATCCGCCCGCTTCCGTGTCTTTCAGATTTCATCATTCTACTAATGTGCACAATTGCCAGGTCAGCTTCAAAGTGGGTAAAAGAAACGCTTTCTTACCAACGTCTGTATAGATCCAGCAATGGGTCTTGTGTAACTGGAGATGTGTTGGCTAGCTCGGTGTGACAATGCTGGCGCTATCGCTCTGCTCTCGTGGCATGCTTGAGCGTTCTGGAATTCATTGAGAACAGACAAATGTCACACTGATATGGAAGCAGCTCGATTGTTTGATAAGGGCACCAATGAGATGGGCAAGGGTTTTCTTTGACAGTCCAAAAGCCCCAGCTTCCATGATATCCACGGCAAACGGTTTGTCACAACACCTGTATCACCTCATCCTGAAAACCGGTAACCATTAGATACAAAGGGAACCCAGCATGAGGAGACTTTTCATAGAAAAGTATCATCAAACGACGCATATGCAACGGTCAAACACTACCGTTGCTAACTCCATTTGACTATATAGTTGTAGGTGGCGTCCCTCGCTCAGGCGCACCAACGTTTTGGCCATTTTTTGGATGTACCGACTTACCTCGCTATCTCTACTTGACTTCATGTCGTTGAGCTTTACTGACCTCCTGGCGCTATTTCCGTTTGGCGATGACTTCGTCGACGAAGAAGTGTTCTCACGCTCTCAGTCCCCCTTGTCTGATTTACTATCGGACGTGTACCTGCCTCTCGACTCCTACAGTTATGGCCATCCATTATTGAATACCACATTGCAGCTGCAAGACCCTTATTTGCGGTGCGACAGAGACCTGGAATGGAACATTGACTGGGCTGTGGCTTTCCTCGTCGACCAGTTGGAACAACGCTGGGTAGATGCAGCTGCATCACTTATGAACATTCGCAGACAAGCAGCAGCACTCCACGAGAACAGCTTGAGCGAAGAAATCCCTTTTCAAATCTTCAACAAACTCGACCAAGCTCTGTTTGCTGGATTCTTGAAGAACTCTGTCTTTCTCGATGTCAGCAGATTAGACTCTGATATTTCTGGTGTTACTTATACGCACCGATGGGGACCCAATCCGGAAGTCAAGCGCATTTCCATCATTTTCAACCAAGATGCAATCAGACATGGTCGAGCGCGGGACATTGTGGCTACGTTGATCCACCACCTGATCCACGCATACTTTCTTGTGGCTTGTGGCGAGCAAAAGGAGAACGAGATGGACTATGGGCGTCTGAACCACGGCTTACAGTTCGGCAAGATCATGCTCGCCATCAGGAGGCTTTCAGCTGCTCATGGTAGAGAACTTACAACCTTGGACTATGGGCATCGCTTGTCCAGCAGACATCACTATGCCGACGACTACTACCGCCCGTGGACAAGAGACGAAGTCAAGCACGAAGATGGGAACAAGTGGTATTTTAGCCATTGTCACAGTGACGTCCGCGGACCATCTGATAGCGAGGTGGACAAGTGGTATAAGAATGTTTGCCAACCAATGCTTGACCTACCACCAAGTATTCGGGGTCTCGAGGTAGAGGTGTACAATGTCCGACGACACGAGTTGGTGAAGAGACGTCGGGCGCACCTCGGTTCTTCTTCAAAGTCTATCGAGTTTATTTTCAGGGATCGACCAGTCCTTGTTGGCAGGGAAAAGATTGAGCGGTTTCCGAGTGTCATGAGAGCTTTTGATAAGGCTGGCAGTCGTTTTCTCAGAGTACATAAGGAGGTCTCGGAAGACACGTTCATGCGCCTTCTCGAATTCCTCCATACTGGCTCTTATCCTCCTGATCCGCATGTCTTTGCTGGCGCTGCAGTCGATCGAGATGTCCGACACAAAGCCCCTCCTATCATCAAGCCCCAGAACATATCTGTTGAAGCAGTTGTGGTCTTAGCCGACATACGATTTGCCAAGCTCGGCTTATATATGGGCTTCGAAGACTGCAAGGCCTACGCCTTGGATCGCATGAACACATACGGTGTCCTATACGAGGACCCTGTAGCTGTTCTCAAAGAGATTTACCGAGGCTGCGAATTAGACCCTGATCTCAAAGTCTGGGCACGCATGTTTCTTACACGTTGCCCTGCTGCATCGAGCCCTGGTTATTACCACGGCGATTCGCTGGGTCACAGTACCGTAGAGCCACCCAACCTGTTGAAACTTAAAAGTCAGCAAGGTCCTTACCGGTCACGCTTTCTCAATGCCATTGAAGTTAGTGGAGCACTGGAGAACGATGTTAATAAAGCTCGTGCCGAGCTCAAAACCGCAGGCTGGTATACACCCTTCAGGCGCCCAGCCGATCAACCTGCGCACAATTTGAACAATCATCTTCATGTTCGCCCGCACTTTTTTCCTGACTCGTCCTCGCCTTCGTCATCATCATCTGGCTCATGGTACAAGGTCCGAGACCTCACTAGCCAGCTATCTTCTCTTAGCGTGAACCGCGCTCCCGGAATAGAGCGAGGTAAGGTGCGGGATGGCGACCATATCGGACCGAATTGCACCTATAAGAAAGTGAACTATAGCATGAAGGACCGCGAACAACGTCTGAGAGATGTTGATGTTGAATTGGATAAAGCAAGGGAAAATGTGAAAAGGTTAGAAAGGGAAAGGGAGGATCGAAGGAAGAAGGAAACCCAGAAGCAAGTGAAGATCCAGGCAGTGGCGCTGGTAGAAGAACTTTTGGAGGGGAACCTGGGACAGAGAAGGGGTATTGACGAAGATTAAGTTTGTGTGACGTTGTGGTACACGTAGAAAGTGGCGTGAGACGAAACCTCCTGGACACGTTGAATATATTTCCTTCTAAAAATATCGACCGACGGGGTGTAGCTAAATGTGGTCGTGTAGAAATATGCAAGGCATACAATTATTCCGTGCCAATTAGGGATTGTAGGGCGTCTCAGCTCCAGTCCTTCCTAACGAGGTTAGCCCAATAATGCTGCATGTAATCAAGAAATCCTCCGTGTGGCCCTTTTCAGCTCTGCACGCAACCTCAATCCGTAAATAATTTCTATCAAAAACCTGCCTTGACACTGTCTTCGTATCAGAAAGAACCATTACGTCAAGATGGCGCTCCAAGTGCGTATACCCCCAACTATTCCAACCGGATTGACTCGGCGCCCAACTATCATACTACTACCAAGGACATAAGTTGGGCCAGCTAACCCACACCAAAAGCACCCAAAGCATCCCCCAAACGGCACCACACCACCATGGACGCAATCTCATAACCAAGACGAAACGGCAATCGGCTTCCTCGACCTCCCGCGCGAACTCCGCGACCTAGTCTACGACTTCGCCTTCCGCATCCAAGGCGCCCTCCTCATCTACACACGTGACCCGACAGCCGCGCGGCTCGTCGCCCGGGCAATGAACATCCAGCACGCTGGCCGCGGCCCCAGCGCCCCGCAACCCCTAGTCAACGGCGCCCTGCCCGTCGCCCTACTCCGCACGTGCCGCCAGCTCAACGCCGAAAGCAGTCCCATTCTCTACTCTGCCAACGTCTTCTCCTCGTGGAACGCCCGCCTGCTCGAACTCAGTCTTGCGCACCGCAACTTACTAGTCAGACATATCGTCATGGAAGCGAGTCCCCGCGGTATCTTTGACAAGAGTCTCGAACATGTCAAGTATTGCTGGAAAAATCGCTTCTGGCCTGAGATTCTGAAAAGTGGGAAAGCCTTGTTGGATTGCTTTCCTAATCTTGAATCGCTGACTTTTTCGCTTAAGCCGCCGAGGGGGGATGAGCTGTGGCGTCCGGGGTTCTTTGCTGTAGGCGGTAATAAGACGAGGGAGCAGCGGGTGGGGATTGTGGCGGTTTGGATGAGTCTTGGGTGTTGTTGGGCGGATGCGGATCAGGGGTTGAAGGCGTGTTTGCATTTGGAGATGGGGAGGCAGCCAGCGAGGATTGCGAGGGGGGAGTTTATGGGGTCCAAGTTTGCGCCTGAAGAGGAGGAGGATGACGGGGTGTGGGATTATACTGAGTTTGCGGATGCGTTTGATAGGATGAAGGGGTTTTAATTCTGGGAAAGGTTAGGAGGGTATCTGATTTTTTCTGTTTGTATCTAAAAGTTGGAGTTACCAGGGTTGTGCTAGTTTTTAGTATTCCTTTCTAGTGTGTATAAGTACAGCACTGTTTTTTTTTCGTAGTTCAAGTAGCTCTCAAGGGGGATTTGGGGAGATGCTTGCTCTGTATTGAATTTTGAGAACTTATTGCTGCAAAATAAAGATGCTCAGAACTATTTTCTTTTCTCTGAGCGAAGAGTGTTTGTCGGAGAAGTTTAGCTTCTAGCTTGTATTAGCCACAAAGAGAAGAAAGGTATCAACGCTGTTAATCATTCTAGGGCTGCCTTAGCAAAGTAGTCTGAGGACAAGATCGAGATTTTATCCATTCCTGAGTGGCGAATTTTGCAGCTACAGGTAGGTTTGGCTCTACTATAAAGTTTGTATCATCTCCTGCAAGACCCTTTAAACCATTATATTCAGCGTATCTGGATTCCGTGTTGAGTACTATAGGGAAAGTCACAAGCGGAATATGTACTTTTGAAAACGGGTTCTATTCTGCTAGTCATGTGGCACGGCGTTTAAGCTCAAAATATAATGTCATCCGAATCCGAATCCGAATCCCAGTCCTCCGATGTGTCCCCAGAATTCGTATCCTGCTCGTTTTGCATCTCTATGGTTTCCTGAGCTACCTGTAGCTCTTGCGCTGCTGCTTGCGCTATCTCTCTCTCTCGTACTGCCGCTCGTGCTGCCTGTAGCTGTCGCGCCGTCGCTTGTTCTTTCGTTCCCAACGCTGCTTGCACTGCTTGCGCCGCTTGCGTGCCCATATCCACTACTGAATCTGCCATTCGCATTCTCATAGCATGTGCCCCGTCGAGTCTTCCTCGCATCTTTATCACCTTGCCCAGATCTCGCATGACATCTAGTATGGTAATATCAGAATCTTCAAATGGCACTTCGTGAATCTTTAGTGCTCGTCTAAGGATATTTTCCGCCTCCACAAGCCTTTGCTGATGTAACAGGGCAGCACTCAATTCCCGCAACAATGGCACTGATTGTGGGGAGTCAATCCCGAAATTCTTTCTACATGCTCCTAGAGCCTGTATACAGACATAATTTGCCTGATCGTACATTCCCTGGACAATCAGCTTCTGGATTTTGTCACAATCTTCCAGCAATTGTTTTGACTGCAGTTGTGACAAATCTCTATACTGATCCTTTGCTTCATCGTACTTTTTTTTGGAAGTTGAGAATCTCCGCCAGAGTTTTTCTCACCGAGAACGCATCTTCAGTTTGATGCCAATCCTTCTCTTGGTATACTGATAGCAACTCTCTACACAACAACTCTGCCTCTTCATACTTTTCCATAGAAACTAGAAGTGACCCCAGGTCACTTCCGAATGAAAGCAATGATCTGGTATCATTTTCAGAAGTACTTTGATACCCCTTTAGTGCATCTTTGTAGAAATATACTGCCTCTATGGGTTTCCCCAGCTTTGCAAGCATAAGCACCAATTGACGCGCGACTGGAAGCGTTGATTGATGCCAATATCCGTACTTCTTCCGTTGTAACTCTAGATACCTTTTGTACCAATTTTCTACCTCTTCCCACTTTTCTAGTTCTTGTGTCACGTATGCTAGCTCTGCGATCGTTGAAATCGTTTGTACGTGCTCGTCCCCTAGCGTATTTTCGTATGCCATTAGTGCCTGTCTGTACACTACTTCTGCTTCGGTATATCTCCTCTGTTTATGTAGTTCTGTCGCTACGTTTTGAAGATTGAATACGATGACCCAAAAATCTGTGCTAGGCAATCCCTTATCTACCCCGGACGTTCGCAAACAGTCTTCTTCATCCGCGACGAAATCGATAAAATCTTCATATACTGACTTTTGTTTCAACTTGCTACTCACTGAGTTGTGATGTTCTAATCCGAATTTTTTCTTGCTAGTCTCAACCACGTGCGCATACAACGCATGCGCGTCCTTCCAGGTTCCTGAGCGGCTCAGGGCCACTGCTAGGGTAGTCAAGGCCGCCAATCTATTTGACTGTTCGGTTTTCTCCCACGTTTCTTCCACAGGGATATGAGAGGATACCGAAGGTTGGTACTCGATGCTAGCACTGGTCTCTCTTTCGGGAGGCTGGATATCAGCGTGAAGAAGGCCCCTGGACTCATCTACTTGTATTTCCAGTGTTGACCTTTCTACACCACCACGGTCGCTTGAAAATGTCAAAGTCGAGAATCTTGACGCGTCTGTCCGCTTACTCTTTGCCTCCTCCACAGCAGCATTTGAGTCATTGTTGGCATCAGTCGAAGCGCTAATAGGGATGGCAAAAAGTGCAAGTTGCTCGAGATGGCCGGCGAGGTGACGTTTAAAGACTGTTGAAGTAACAGCCAGAATCCCTGTAGGTACTGATCCGCTCGTTTGAATAACTTGCTCTTTCAAACGAACAGACCAATCAGAACAGCAAAGACAATCAGTTGCTGGAATCTGAGCTAGTGACTTTCGAGAGAGATCTCTTGCTGTTTGTTCACCGCCATCATCTAAAGTCTCTTCATGCTCTCGTTTCAGATGGAGAATGTATTTTTCCTCTTGATTGAAGAATCTTGCGCAAAGGAAGCATTTGTAATCCACACGGTGAAAAGTCATTTCATGTTGGAACCATTCGTTGATGTCACCAAAATATGGTGCATCACAGTCTGGGAACGTGCAGACGTATGGACGAAGATCTGAGAAGACGTGCTTTTTCCACATACGCTCGATCTTGAACTTTTTGATGCGAAAGCAGAATGGGCACTCAAACTCTTTCCCACGATCTGTGCGTAAAGAATCAAGCTTTGGGATGCGAACATTGGTGGATGACTCATGGTCGCTGTCGATCGAGCGGGAAATTGTTGTGTAAGAACGAGCATCATCTGGATCTGATTCATCGGCAACGTTCAGTTGAGGCGCGAGCTTTTCGGCGGCGATAGTGGTGGCTTTGGTGAAGAAGGAAGGTAGACTCTCCCTGTCTAGCGTTGGCTTCGAACCCAGTGACTGCTTAATGTTAGGAATCTGAGGTTTGTAGGCCGAACCACCCGATTTTTCATGGTGACTGAGTGGATCTGCCAGCTTTTCACGGTGGTCCTATATATAGTTGAGGTAACGTCTTCTTTGAGTAATAGCCCGCCCAAGCCGTTGACAAAGCCAGGCGGAGTCCTTTGCGGCAAGCTTCGGATATTTCTCGCCAACGTGGGAAATGTCGAATTGGTCATTAAAGTGATATCTGTTACGGCTGAGAGCTTTCGCAAACATATCTGTGGGTGTTGCACGTCGGATGAGAGTTGAAACTCTGAAGAGCCGGGTAACGGTTTCACTGATTTCTTCCTGAAGCTCGTTAACTTCGCTAATACCTCTTCCACACTCATCTTTAGTCTCGTCAGCCACCGAGACCATTTCTTCTCTTTCACCCAAAACAATATCCAGGAGGTCTCCAATGACTTCTTTCAAGTCGTCTAAGAGACCCCAAATGTGAGTAAGTACATCATTGGCTCCTTGTAGTCGTGACTCGATGGACATAGGCGATTCGGGTCGATGGAGAGCTCCAATGTTCCCAACAAAAAGACTGAACCTGTCCAGTTCCTCCCTCATTCGAAGATTCCTAACATTGTTGCTGTTGCGATCTGGCTGGGCGAGAGCCGAGATGACTTCGTGGAGAATAGCGATACAGGAGCGGCACTGGTCTGACACGGAGAGCGTCATGTCTCATAATCCAGTCATCAAGAATACAGTTCACCCAAAAAAGATAGTTGTGTGCTCAGGTCTTGCGAGGCCGTTCTGGCAATAACATTAGAAGATTAACAATAGGAATATCCCAATGATCGTGGTGTCATGGGGGGTTCGCAAGAAGGCAGAAATTACCCGTGGGGCCAAAAACGCGGGGAAGGAACGCCACACTTACCGTTCAGCCTTCCAACTCCTCATACCCAACTGTTCCATCTACATTACTCATTTTAACGGAACTGTACAAACATCAGTATGAGCGGATTGGAGGTAGCAGGTATCGTTCTTGGTGCCTTTCCGTTACTCATAAGCGGCATCGAGCATTGGCGTGATGTTGCGAAGGTCGGCGGCTTTTACTGGCGGATACGTAAGGAATACACCAAATGCCAGCGCGATATCCAGTTTTATGAAATCGTGTATAAGAACAACCTCAAAGAACTCTTGTTGCCACTCCTTCACGATATTGATGAAGTTGCGAAGCTCATCGCAAACCCGGGGGGTCTAAGGTGGAGTGACAAGGCGTTACAAAAACAACTGGAATGCAGGTTGAAAGAGTCATACCAATCGTATTTGGATACTATGGCTGAAATGAACGAGATCGCTGAAGAACTCAAGAAAGAGTTATGTTTTGACGAGAAGAATGTTCAGGATAAGCTCTTACCACCGGAGGCAAAACGACGGAGCGCCAATCGGTCGCCAAGTCCTCAACAGGGTGCAAGACCTTCGAAGTTATCCACTGCAAAGGGCAGACTGGATTATGAGTTCTTCCGAATGAAGTTCAGTATTGGGGAAAGGATCAGAGATGAGCTTTTTGGACAACTGAAAGAATGTAATGAGCGCCTGGAGAAGTTGCTGGGCTCCAGCGATAGAGTCTCTGCACTCCAAGATTCCGCACCTGGATCTACCAGAAAAACCTCCGAGTTGGAGTCCGCTTTCAAAAAGATTTCCAAGAAATCAAATCTGTTGTTTCAGGCGCTGCAGAATGCATGGCAGTGCTCGTGTCAACAGTACCACTTCGCGAACCTGAGACTTGAGCATCGAACATTTACCGAAGTATGTTTCGAGATCGTCTTCATGTTTATCGCTCCCTCAGAACACGGAGTTACACCTTGGAGCCAGAAACAAATTCTCTGCGGTCATATTCCTGGATGTTCTTCGTCTCAGAAAAGACTGGAAACTACTAAGTCTTTGACGACCCAACATTAGCCGGACCCTTTGCCTATACGAACTGGTATAAAACTGCACTCAAATACCCTCCGCAAGAAAGTGGATTTCGCGCCATCTATACCCACTGTACCAAAGATTCAAGTAGACATGTTTGTCGATCATAACGTGCAATTATGCCGGCGATTAGGCGACGAAGAGTGTGAAGCATGCATGGGTATCGTCAGTCATGATGACGAAGCCTTTCATCTTCATCCGGTCAACCAGAAAAATAATCAACCCGGAAACGGTCCCATAACACTTGACCGTATTCTCTCTCGGGACTTTGAAGATCCTTTTTCGCGGCGCCAACGCTACCAGATTGCTCTCCTTGTAGCTTCATCGGTAGCACAACTTCAGTCTACACCCTGGCTACGGACAGGCCTTTGCAAAGAAGACGTCATCTTCCTTCCATCTCAAGAGAACAACGAATTGCTTCCATACGGCAAACCTTTCATCCAACAGGGTTTTCTACACAATCACACTCACTTTTCTTGCACTCAGTCTTCTGCGGATGGCTGCAATTTTTACGCACTCGGCATACTTCTTTTAGAGCTTTGTTTTGGTTGTCGCCTGGAAGATCATGCTGTATGCAAAAATCATCCACCAAATATCAACGCCGCCACTAAACATGCCTTTGATGTCATGGCCGGATTGAAGTGGTCACGCAGCGTAAGCGACGAGGGTGGAGAGGATTATGCGACAGCTATCAAGTGGTGCTTTACGGGTGTAACAGACAAAGAAAAGAGCTGGAGGGGCGAAATCGTCAGAAATGTGATACAACCGTTAGAGAAATGTATGGAGCACTTCCAAAATATTGCTGTAGTTGCATGAAAGGGTGGAGTGACGAATATATATGCACACAATATTTCTCTATGATTCGGCAACTACTAGAATCATCAAATCTAAAGCGTACACTTGAGGGAAAACCTATGTCATGTGAAAGTGCAGGTTATGCTATGCGAAAGGCAAAACGTCAACTCAATTATGATTGCCGGGTATCGAGATGGTAAAAGGGAGACACCAATGGGAGTTTTGACAATAGACTTGGTCCATGATTATGTCTCATAGGAAACAAGGATAACTTGTTATGAAGCCGCAGCTCTATTGTAGACTCAAATTTCCCGCACTCTACCCATAAGGAAATCCGCATGATAGAATCTTGGATATTGATTGCTGACTGTGTTGGCAGCTGTCGAGTTTCGAGCGTGGTGTTAATAGCAAAGACGGATTTTCGTTACGAGAAGCTTGTAGCAGCATGAATAACTTAAACCTAATTTGCTACGTTAAGAATAGTTATGATGTGGCCTGGAGATCAAGATATCCAGATGACAATAAAAGCAAGAACAATACAAAAAGCTACTGGGCATGAAAGAGATAAAAGTTTTAACAATCCAAAGGAGTGACTAGTTTAATCGTGTCATGATCGTCAATCTAACCTTCTAATCCCACACCATGGTGTCATATATTCAACGTTCTCCATCATCGCAGTACTTTGGAAGAGGATATCGTGCGCATTGGAGTGGAGATTCTCCAAAATAGGTGACATTGTCAATTGAAAACCGAACAGGAGTATGGAGAGGTTGGGTACCCAACCTCTATTCCGATTTCTGCTAATTACTACAACCATGCGTTGAATCCTAAGCAAAAACTCACCCAAGTCAGCCACTGACAGCAATACGAACTACCCCACATCAGCCCCCAACCCAAACAATTGTTCATGGCACACCTTACATATACGATGCACAAAATCCCTCATCCGTTACCGGCGCACACGTCTCCACCAACTCAACACCACTGCCCCTCCTTGGCACCGTAGCTCAAAAAAACTCACGATCCTTGGCGCCAATACATCAAAAAAACGCCACGAGCGCCCTAACCATCCTACTAAGCACGCCTCGAGAAAAAAAATCTTCAAAACAGCCGCCCTCTACCTCTGACACAAGGTCATTCTAGAAAGCGCTCCAGGCTCCACAAGCACCCGTAACACTTACCGCATTCCAACAAATCCTTACTTAACAATTTCCACCACAAACCACGCGCCCTAACCCTCTCCATCCCCACAACCCCGAACTTTCCCCATTCGCTTTTCCCCTTGCATGCACATGCAAAGCCAGCCATCCGCTATATAGAAAAATAAAGGAAAAAACTAGTCCTAATAAATCTCCACTGACCACCAAGTCGACCTCTCCACAACATTCTAGACTTTCTCCCCTCCTACGCCCCACTCCCCCAAAAAGCGGATAAACAAACTTCCTCTCCCTAACACATACCCTACTTAGTATAGCGCGTCAACAACCCCCCGCGCCCCGAAATACCTAGACAAAGGTCAAACCGGCAAAGCCCGTTCCCTCACATAGCACTAAGTTCCATTCCGCACTTGCGGAAAACTATGTAATCAAGGTTAAAAAGACTATAATCTATGCCTAGTGCCATTTTCCGTTTGGCCGGAAAAGGGAAATGCGCGGAATATAGGGATGGACTTTCCTAATTAGGCGTATGACAGGGGGGGGTAAGCGGTTTGAGGCTCTTTGGGAAGGGGGCTTGGCAGCGGCGGCTCGTGGTAGGGATGTTAAGAACCCTTATAGTAAGATGGGTGCGGCGGGAGTGAGGGTCGGCACGTACGGTACTGTGTAGGGATGGATGTAGGAAATGGTAAGGGTGATGGGCGGTGCGGCGGGTGCCGATGGGGGAGATGGGGTGAGATGGCCGTGATGGGATGGGATGGGATTGGTGAGGTGGTGTGATGATGGGGTTGGAGGGTTCGGCAGGTGTAAGCGGCTCTGTGGGATGGGGCCGTACGGCGCGAGACGCGAGATGTGAGATGGTGATTATATTGGTTTTGCATGGTGTTGTGGTTGTTGCAGAGGTATTGCTGAGTTGGTGGTGGTGGTGGTTTAGTGAGCCGATGCTCATCATATGTACTGGCGTCATATGATGTTCTTTCCATCGCAATAAGTTCTATTACTACGATTGAGTCGAATGTTCTGTAGAGCAAAGCTTCATTATCACAAAAGTAAATCACTTTTCACTGCATGTAGCTCTAGAGTTGAAGGAGTGGGAATGTATTCCTGTATTATGTACTACTAGTAGGACTATGTAAACCATAGAGTCCTATTGAGTGGAAACTTTTATCGCTGAATGTCTATCTCAGTATTCGAGGAGCTTGCTGCACGCTCAACTCGAGCAATCTACAAACGAACCGAAACGCCGACAACAAATGAGAGAGGCGAGCATACAGCAAAGCAACGCCTAAAAACCAAGTACAAACGGGGGTATATCCTACGTAGTCCAAAAGTGATGATTGCAAGTAAAAATCAGACAGTGGCCAAGTAAGGAAATTCGTGAATCGTCTGCTTAAGCGTGACGAGTGGGGTATAAATAACGCAAGGAGAGAGTAATCCAAAACTACCGCTCAAGGCTAAAGCTACCAGACCGAGAGCTCATGTTGGAAAAGGGGTACTCGCATTCTTCGACGTAGGTGGGTGGGCTGACGGGAACATCCTCATAGAGCGGAGGCTGCTCCTCATCCCAAGCAATACCCATACCTGATCGCTCGGTAAGGACCAGGTGGAATTGAGTGCGGAGAACGCGGGCGGCACCGGTGGGGGTAGCTTGGCTGAGCTTCTTGAGTGGCGCCCATTCCTCAGCGACAACCATTTCGATAATCAAGTTGTGCTTGACGCTCATGCCGTTTGAGCTTTCGAGGTCGCAAAGAGGCTTCATGGCCATGTTGCAGGCCGCCTGGAATTCGACATCGATCTCGCCCTTTTCAAAGTCGGTCTTCCAACCTGTCTTGACCTCTTCGTTGGCAATAGCACGGACATCCTCGTGGAGAACGCCCTTGCCCTCACCACCAACCTTTGAAATGTGCTTGGCGCAAGCTGGAGAAATAAACTTTTGCGTCTCCTCAATGCGCCAATTGAGCTTGCGCAGTCTCCACCGCGTTTGCGAGTCTGCCTTGTTTTGAACGATTCCGGAAAGGCGCATTTCGATGGGGAAATCGCCGATAGGGTGGATTACTGGCGGCAGCTTGACGGAAGCCGTAAGATTGGTCGGCGGGAAAATGCGAATGGAGTGCTTCTCCGCACCAGGGAAAATAGCGCGCTTGATGTCCAGATTGCGCTTGTAAGTAATCTTGCCCGAAGAGGTGGTAGCTACGGCGGAAAGGTAGTAGTCGACCGTGGCAAGGCTACCGTGGGTAGTAGCTGGCAGGTGACCTGGCAGCAGGTGACTGAAGGGAAAGTTGTGGGGACCGTGACGCAGCGAGACGGGATGGGTCAGAAACTCCCACTTGTGGATTTCAGTGGTCTGAGTGGTGCAATCAGGGCAATGTGGGGCCACGGGCTTCTTGGTGGTCACAATGGCCAGCATGCGCATTTCAAACTTGTCGACGGTGATGAAGGGGTCGTGTACGTTGATGACGAGCTGGCCCGAGAAAATGGCGCCAGTCGATATCTGGGGGGTGTTGTAGAAGACGATTGGCGGAGACTCTACGCTCATGTTCATGGAAGCTGCGCCCTGTGCCTCGAGCTTTGGAGTCTTCTTGGCATCTTCCTTTTCTTTGGCATGCTTGTCATGCTTGTGGCGGTTGAAGATGTCCATGACCAGAGATTCCTCCGACTTTGACTTTGCCTTGACGCGTGGGGCGTCGTAAGAATAGACTGGGGGTAGCAGGCCTCCAGCGTGTGGCTTGGTGGAGTCGGATTTAGGAAGGGGTGTAGGAGCCACCCTCGCCAGGGTACTGAGCAGGCGGCCTGGCATTCTATGCTAGAGAATCTGGGGTAGGGCTGTGAGTGAGCGACGTGAGTGGACGGCTGGCAGCGAAGATAGCAGAGATGTGTTGCGGAGATGTGTGTGTGGGAGAGATAAGGAATTGTCCAATGGGGATAAGGGCGTGGGCCGACAAGCGATATGCAGGCGGAGAGCGTGGAGTGCAGCAGTGGTGTGCTTAGGAGTTTACTTTGTGTGAGTTGAGGTGGTTAATGAGGTATTGAGGCAGGAACATTGCAGGCTATGAAAAAACGACCAGAACTGGAGGCCGGGGAAGGACGAGGTCTTATTTAAGAGAGCTGGTGACTGGTTTTACATGAGAGAAATTCCCTGACTGGGTTGCCTCATGGAAGCTTTGCATGATTTCATCGGTAGTGGCACGAGCAGGGATTTTTCTCGTACTCGGCCTAGACGCTTGCGGCAAGCGCATCCCTGCATCTGAGTGTAATTTTTGGGTCAGGAGGCAGGCGCGCACGGCCTGCCGCTCACGAGATCGCCGGTGAACCCAGCGAGCGTGCCTGCCTGTCCTGCCTGGCGTGCCTGCCGGCCCCAAAGACGTCAACAAACAAGCGAGGGTAAGAGCGAGCAAACTCCGGCTGGGTCCCGTGACCATGATGACCAGCCGCTCTACACCCGGCAACTTGCCCATTTGCCATTAATCAATTGCACACACGCCCTACACTACTTACTTACTCTACACGGCTGACATGCCGTCCTCATCGCCATGCTCATCTTGCCGCTTATTTCAGTTTCGCCGACAGCTCGCGACCTCGGGCCCCGGCTACGCCGCAGCTCGCTGCCAGCGGATGCTCCGTCTACACCGTCGTGGCTCGACGTCGGGGAACCTCATGTGGCTCGCCGGCGGCCATTCATTCCACCCACGCATCGCCAGCCTGGCCCAAGAGCACCACCTACGTCTCCACCCGCCAAACTCTGGGGTGTTCATCATGCCAAAACGGCGGCACACTGCCCGCTCTCTGGACATTATTCGCTGACGCACATGTGATGTCCTCTTCCCCGCAACCCTAGTCTTGTGCCTGTCGCCAAAAAATCCTTTGTGCTATGCGATCTGGGGACGGGCAATTGAGCATCTCCTCGGCCATGGCATCGTCGCAACCGCCCTTGCCTACCACCCTTCGCATGCATATTCGTAGCCTGCAGCTCAGCTGCTCTCAGCACATCATGCACACCTGCATTGTCGCTCACACCCACATGACACGTTGTATGCGCCCATGGTGGCTCTATGCGAATTGTGCATCGTCTTCACCGTCGTCGCTGTCGTGTTGACCATCCATGGTGCCCACGCCAAGCCGCGGCGTTAGGTAAGACAGCGAATTTTTCCCTCGCACCGTGGGCCAACCACAGCCGCTGACGGGCCTCCCCACTCCACCCAGATCTTTTTACAGTCTCTTTACACATTTTGGCGGCCCCGGTCCGATGCTGGCTGAGATTCAGGCTGTCTCGTGTCAAAAAAGCACCCACTTGTTGAGAGACCAGACTGTTCTACATTACTCGATGGAAACCTCCATGATCACGCACTAGCGCCAATCACGCAACTTGTTCCGCCCAGCAGCAATCCGCCAGCCATCACGTGGGCCGCGTACAAGACGCCTTTCGAGCAATTCCTTGCGAATCTTGCAACGTCTCGCTTAATCTGTAGCCCTGCCGCTTGAATGGCGGCCGCACACTGCGAATGTCCGAAAGTCCATCTGCCAAGGTCGATGGCTTGCCATGACCAGATCGGGAAATTCATCAGCATGCGCTGCATGCCCCTGGCCTGTCCCGACCACCGGAGCCCACGGGCCCCACATATAGTTCCCTCACCTGTTCCAAGGCGAATTCCGAGTACCGTACCTCGTTCCCGTCGGATATCCATCACGGGTTTGCCCACCATGCGACGCGCAACTTGGGAGTCATCATGTCGTATAATTACGCCATTCAAATCACCGCAAACATGCCATGGCACCATGATGGTCAAACTCACTCATGTCTCACCGCCAATCTGCTCCACTGAACAGAGGTTGTAAATGTATGTACAGGTACCTCGCCGTGTCTAGAACGTGGCTGGACGTTTTCCATCACCCTGCGTCGCGCCTCCGAAGAGCCGCTTCAAGGCGCTGCGTCCACGACCCGCGACGGGCCGACTAGAAATAACCCTCGCCTTCTCGAACCATCCCATTGTGGCACATCCCGATTTATGCCAATCACATGGCGAATAACCCCTGTGGCGCTCCTCAGGTCGGGATCTTCACCGGCAGTCTAGTAGTAGTCTACTACTAGTAGTAAGCATATGGCTGCACACCTTGATGAGTATTCGAGAACTTGTGAGTTTCATCGGTCGCACATCCGGTGAAAGTTACAGCATCCCAACATCACAAATTCTCTCCTATTCCAAACAAATCATGAGATATTTCAAGGTGGGTATGCCAGCATGACGCGTGGCACTCAAAGTGCGTTGTCTCGATATACTTTTGCATACTGACGCCTTGTGACATGTGGATCTTTACCACGCGAACAAATCACTGTCTATACACTAACATGCCCGGGACAAGTCACTAGTTCCCGCACTCAAGTAGTGTAGCAGCACCAAGATCGTTGCCGGCGATCTACGGGGCAGAAAAAAAAAGCGTGCAGCAACCCATTCTTCTTGCCCACTGTACCGTTTCAGCCACAAGCTTTCTCTGAACAACAAATGGGCCAACAAAGCAGTCCCTATACCGCTCATCGCAGCAACGTTGCTTCACCGGTTGGGCGAACAGTTTCTCTTTCCCTGAAGATCCAGAGTTCCCACTTTTTTTCTGTTCACCATGATGTGTAAATTGCGGGCCTCTTACGACACCTAAAGTGTATAATGAGACATATATTAAGCCTCTACTGGTACGATGATTGGCCGACTACAAAATATCATTCGAGTAAAAGATTCAAAGGACGTGTTTCACATCATCTCACTCCACCATCATCAACCCATCCGTTTGTCATAAGTATGTAAAAACAACAACCTAGAACGACGTTACAACAACCTTCAGACCCGTTGAGATGAGACGGTGAGACCTTTTTCCCCACATGCAAGGAAGAATGAAACAATCCTTCATGCAAGCTTTCTTCCCTTTTCTTGGAAAAAACCTTGTTGTTAATCAATGGGGGGTTTTAGCTTGTGACGCACGTTGCATCTTGGGGTTTTTTTCTTTTCTCCTTCGCGCTCGTTAGCTCTGCCGGGGAAGATCATGCATTACTGCCGTTGAGCATCATGTGGAGTAGAAAGTGCAAGGGGGGCGAGGGTCCGCTCTGAGCGTTGCACTAGTAGGTGCTTTTCAGACAGTCTCGACAAAGTTGTCCCTTTTTGAATTTTTCTCTTTTTTTTTCTTCTCTTAGCGCTACTCCTGGGATCCACCCCCTACTCTTCGCCTGGAAACAAGGAATTCACTCTCAGAGTCAATTGCGCAATTCTCCAAGGGAAAAGAAAAATAAAAATTGAGACAGAACATGATCACACATGGTTCACCTCACAGCAGCACAAGTATTCGTCGTTTTGGCAGATGCATCAATTCATTCGATCGTGCTATCCGCCATGTAGACGTTATGATCCTTCCCTTGATTTCCAAACACTAGACTCCATATAATGCAAGCCGGGGTGGTATCTCTAAGTGGAAATGTACATCTACTCGTCGTCCTCGTCGGCCTCGTCGTTGACAACGTTGAAGAAGCGGAGCTCGTAGACACCCTTGGAGGTGGAAACAACACGGAGCCAGTCACGGAGCTGCTGCTTCTTGAGGAACTTCTTGGTGCTGTTCCCATCATGTCAGCTCCTGCATCGCAATTTCCATATATACAAGCCGGGAAAAAAAGAACGTACAGGTACTTGAGGTAGCGACCAGAAAACTCCTGGTGGGCAATGACCTCGATCTTTCCCTCGCCCTGCTGGCTGATCTGGATGGTATCACCGAGGTTACCGGTGCGGCCCTCGACCTTGATGCGGTCGTTGAGGAACTTCTCAAAAGCCTGGATGTCGAAAATCTTATCGTTGACGGGCTGCGAGCAGTTGATGATGAACTTCTTCGTCACCTTCTGGTTCTTCTTGGCCGCGGCGCTGCGCTTCTATATTCATAATGCGTACTTAGCCTACTGTTCTGGAACACACGTGCGCGAGAAAAAGACTCGCGTCGGAGGACAGCAAAGCGGTTGTACGTACAGTGGTAGACATCTTGATGAGATTTGGGGGGGTGAGCGCAAAGAGATGGGTATCCTGCGTCTTCTTTTGAGGTGTTTGGAGGGGTGAAAGAGGGGAGCTGTCGTGAGGCGCGCCGGCCGTTGTTCGCTGTGGGATTGCAAAATGCGACAGTGGGGTACTAGGCTAAATACGGACTGGCGTGCCAAGTGTTCGACCGAGGACTTATCGATACGCCGACATACATTGACACGAACAACTGACATTGACAATCAGTCTGAATGTTAGATTTGTATAGCTTAAATACGTTTGAAAATTCCAGGTCGAGAATTTTTGAGTGATTGTGTTATCATACAAGACTACCGCAGCATATCCACACATACAAATACACTATCGCAACATGTTGCTCGCCTTTGCGCTTCTTCCATTGTCCTGAATATCATAACTTCCGTCGATTGTACGCCCAGTAAGCCTTCATCGGCAATTTCCAGTCCACATTCCTCAATGTTGAGTCAAAGATGTCAAAATCAACTCCTTGCAACTTATCCAGCCATGCCTGCGTCGCAATGCTGGGCATGAAAACGCCAAACGCTTTTTCTACTTCTGCCAGCTGCGCCTCCTGTCCAGTGTTCATTTGCTGCACACTATATTCATGGTCCTCCTCGTGCTGGTGCTCAAAGTCATGACCGAGCGTCCCTTCAGATCGCAACTTATTAAGCATTTCCCGAGCTGTGATGAGATGGTCATTTGCACGTGTGGCTACCGTGAAGACGGCGTCGCGGAGACCAGGAGCGGCACCGCCCTGTCGGAACACATCCTCTTCCCGAACGGAGGCTTCGGCCATGACATCAAGCGGGAGAAGAACAGCTCCTTGAGCTGGTCCTGATTGGCCTGTAATGGAGTTGCTAGTACCGAGTGCCTGTTGTTGTGGGAATGCGATAAAAGGGATGCCTCGTAGCACTGCCGCTATGCCCATTGCCTTTCCAATGTGTGATGCAATATGATCGGTTGTAAGAGATGCTTGCGGCAGCGCAGAAAGGGTAAGGTACAACATGGTCGAGTACGTATTCTCAGCATAGCTCTCCAGTGCGCTCAGGGTTGGATATGGAGGATTCCCTAGATACTGTTCTCGCGTGTTGATGATGCGATGGAACCAATTCTTGCTCAACCTTGCTTTTCCATCAGACCTCTCATTCAAATCTTCCGCTGCTTGTGCCAAAAGAATGGCTACTGGCTCTTTTGGTGGAGTTCCTGCTAGTGCTTTGGTTATAGTATCCCGCCAAAATTGCATGCGCATCATGCCAATAGTGGGGGTACTGGTCGTATCGGCGACACGGGCAACGTCGACATTGAAGGCGCGGATGGCAAGGTAAGCATCGCGCGAAGATTGCGGTATGAAAGTTTGCAGGATATGTGAGGGTGTGTCATATGTTCTGCAGGTGGTCAACGAAAGGCCGATTGTTAATAGGAAAGGTGTAGTCACCTGACTAAATTTGCGCAGTATGCGCGGGCCCTTGCAACTTCATCTTCTGAAAGTTTCGCTATACTATTGAGACGAGAAGAAGCATAGAGAAACCTGCGCTTGGGCCCTAAGAAGCCTTGTATGCGCCGGAAGGGACCTGCGCGGAGTCTCGGTGGAAGCATTGAAACTTTTTTTTTAACAGCAATCAATCAAAAATTATAGTAGTGTAATGCGAACGGCCATTGCGCAATGTAAATAGTGATAATAAAGAGAAGACACCTGTGGTACAGGTAAGAGGGAAGTCCAAAAAATACAGAGTAATATGAATCGATTTGTTGTAAGGCACAAAGAGTGGAAGGCGACTGGTTGGTATGTATGACGCTATAATGTCGATCACCCGCACGTTAGGCTATGTGGGTTCGTGAAAGCGCGTCGACGCGTCTAACCACTTTCCAAAGCGGCGAAAGTACCTGCGGCCAGCGACCGTCACCAACACCATGCAATCTCCGCACCCAGACGAGCGACCCTCCAAAAAGCGCCGTTTCTTTACCGAAGATTCATCGCCAGTACAAGTCCGCTCAAAACCCGTTGACCTCCCTCCATCGTCATCGCCGCCACCGCCGCCACCGCCGCCACCACCGCCTCAGGACAGCGAGCCGGCACCAACTGAGGAGACTAGCAATGGAGCGCAACCGGATTTTGACGGTTTCGATGTCGAAACTCTTCAGGCTATCGTTGGAGAACTTTCAATCTCCACACTGCAGAAGTTGAAGGATGTCAGCGCAAGCAATGTGGAGCGAGGTATGCATACACTCGGAAGATATTGGAGTCTATGCTAACATATACAAGCAATCAATTTATATTTGGATGGTTCTTGGAGTACAATGCCGTCAAGATCCCCGGCACCAGCCCTTCAGTCTCGTCCACAATCAGTCCAGATGACAATAGCCAGTTCGCTCAAGCGCACCGAATCCGACGTTTCGAATGCCCCCACACCCGTATCCGGTTCTTCCACGCCCAAAGTGATACGTGATATGCCCAGTAGACGTTACATTGGATCATTCGGCGCCGCTGCATGGGCGACCAAAAGTGGAAGTGGCCTTCTCAAACATGATGAGAAGGTTCGTATCGAGCGTGTGAAGCCACAGCCTAAATTGAACAAGGCCAAGAAGGTCATTCAACTTAAGAAGCCAGATATCGTGGTGCGATTCATAAATGAAAAAGGAGAAGAGGTTGGAAGGTTGGACCAAGATACGGCATCATGGGTGTCTGTTCTAGTAGACCAGAATCTGTGTTCGTTTGAAGGTTCCGTTGTGTATACTCCGGATAAACTGCGGACTGGAGATACTATCTACCTGCAACTACGGGGTTATTTCCTGCGAGGGGCATTTGACAGTCAGAAGTTTATGAAGCCTGATAACAATCGAGAGATCAACCTATTCGAAGAGAAGGAATCTTCTGAAGAACGCGACCTTCGATTACGACAGGTCGGCCTCGTTAAGCTATTCGAGGCTATCAATCTCCACCCTACACATGAGAACGAGACGACTGCGAAGCACCGGCGCCAAGGACTGCTACAGGCAGCAGAGGGTGATGAAAAGAAAGGCGACAAGCCCAAGCCAAAAACCAGTACACCAGCAACACCTTCGACTCCTGCAGATAACACATCCTCGCCACCGCCAGATGAGGTCGAGGAAGGAGAGGAGCTCGAACAGAGTCAATTGGATTCATTGTACAGGAAGGCGCAATCTTTTGACTTCAACACACCAACCATGGATCCAGCCAGCACTTTCCGTTTGGATCTGCGAAAATATCAGAAGCAAGCCTTGTTTTGGATGGTTAGCAAGGAAAAGGACGAATCAATAGAAGACAGAGAAACATCAATGCACCCGCTATGGGAAGAGTACCAATGGCCAACACAGGATGCAGACAATCAGCCTGTGCCGGCTGTTGCCGATCAAGCCATGTTCTATGTCAACCCCTACTCGGGCGAGCTGTCACTGGAGTTTCCAAAGCAAGAGCAGAATTGCCTGGGTGGTGTCCTCGCTGATGAGATGGGTTTGGGCAAGACTATCGAGATGCTCAGTCTGATCCACACGCACAGAACGGAGGTGAATAATGCTGAGACGCTGGCTATCCCAAGATCTCTGCCAAAATTCCATAAGGCTAGTGCTGACGTTGAACCTGCTCCATATACCACTCTCGTCATCGCGCCAATGTCTCTACTGGCGCAATGGCATAGTGAAGCCGAGAAGGCATCAAAGGAGGGTACTTTGAAAGCAATGGTGTACTATGGCTCTGAAAAAGCAGTCAATTTGCAAAAGCTATGCTGCGCCTCAAACGCCGCCAATGCACCAAACGTTATTATCACGAGTTACGGTACTGTGCTTTCCGAATACAATCAAGTTCTCGCACAAGATGGCAATCGGGGGTCACACGGCGGTATATTCTCACTGGAATACTTTAGGGTTATTCTCGATGAAGCACACTATATTAAGAACCGGCTGTCGAAGACAGCGAAGGCTTGTTATGAGCTCAGCGCAAAACATCGCTGGGTACTGACAGGAACTCCAATTGTCAACCGCCTTGAAGATCTATTCAGCTTGGTGCGTTTCCTAAAGGTTGAGCCGTGGGCGAACTTTTCATTTTGGAAAACATTCATCACTGTTCCATTCGAGTCTGGCGACTTTGTGCGTGCCCTAAACGTTGTACAAACAGTGCTTGAGCCGCTGGTACTCCGTCGCACCAAGGATATGAAGACACCGGATGGCAAAGCGTTGGTGCCATTGCCACCACGGACAATCGAAGTTGAGAAGATCGTGCTATCCCAAGACGAGCGAGATGTGTACGACCATATATATATGCGCGCGAAGAGTGTATTCAGTGCCAATGCAGAGGCTGGAACATTAATGAAGTCGTATACCACCATCTTCGCTCAGATTCTCCGGCTACGGCAGTCATGTTGCCACCCCGTCCTCACTCGCAAAGCCAATGTTGTCGCTGACGAGGAGGATGCTTCGTTGGCCTCTGACCTTGCAAACGGGTTAGCAGACGACATGGATCTCTCCAATCTTATTGAGCGGTTCGAGTCCGAAAATGACCAAGATGCGAGCAGGTTCGGGGCAAATGTCCTAAAGCAGATACAAGACGAAAACGAGGCCGAGTGCCCCATTTGCTGTGAAGAGCCAATGAACGAGCAAGCTGTCACTGGATGTTGGCACTCTGCGTGCAAAGAATGCCTGCTCAACTACATTGCTCATCAACGCGACAAGAACGAGATACCACGGTGTTTCAACTGTCGCGAGCCCATCAACGCGCGTGACGTTTTTGAAGTAATCCGGCACGATCACATCGTCGAGGACAACGAGCCCAATCATGCTTTCCGCGCTTCAGACGCACCCCCACCAACCTCCACACAAACACCACGCATCAGCCTCCGCCGTGTTGGCCTTACTGGCTCCGCCAAAACCCAAGCGCTGATAGGCCACCTGAAGAGAACCCGCAAAGAAGAAAAGAATGCCAAGACAGTAGTCTTTTCCCAATTTACATCTTTCCTTGACCTGATCGAGCCTGC